ATGCACCTCAAGGCCAGGTGCCACAGCCGGGGGAGGCAGCAGCAGCGGCGGAGGGCCAGGAGCAGGAGCTGGGGGAGGCAGCAGTAGTGGCGGAGGGCCAGGAGCAGGAGCCGGGGGAGGCAGCAGCGGCGGCGGAGGGCCGGGGGCAGGAGCCGGGGGAGGCAGCAGCGGCGGTGCAAGGTGGGGAGCAGCAGCCGCAGGACGTAGCAGCGGCTATTGGCGAGAGGTTCCAGCAGCAGCTGGCAGAACCTAGGGGTCGGCCCTCGCATGCACCAGCCCCTCGCCCTCTGCTCGGCCGGCTTCGCAGGTTGTTCATGGGCAGCAGTGCTGAGGCAGATGCAGCCCAAGCCGCAAGGAGGCCACAAGGAGCGGACGGCTTTCATGGGCAGCCTAGCAGTACGGCAAGTGGGATGGGACCCAACCCCCAATCGGCAGCAGGAGGCAGCAGCTTGGAAGGAGGCTTTGGTGATCTGGCGGGAGGCGATGGTGGCTTGGACGCTGGTGCTAGGAGGCAGCAAGAGCTTGGAGCAGCAAGCGGCCAGGGTGATGCAAACATGGATGGTAGCATGCACGGGGGGTACGGCGCATACAATGCATATCATGAGGGTGGTGACGGCGAGTTTGCGGATGCAGAGGATGGCCAGGGCCCGTTGAGGGGCATGGGCGACGATGAGGGGGGTGAGGAGGACGAGGAGGGTCGAGGGGGTGGCTACGGTACGAGGGGCGGCCGCCGGAGCTATGCCAGGAGGCAGAGAGCGGTAGAAGGTGAATGGGAGGACTTGGGGCAGGAAACACCAGAGGAGGGCGGGTGGGAGGAGGAGGATGAATCCGAAGAGTCCGATCCCGAGGAGGAGGGGGAGGAGGAGTGGGACGAGGAGGCAGACCGACGGCCGAAGCGGCAGGGAAGGCAAGGCGGCCACTGAAGGGAATCGTTTGGGGTATGGGGTAGGCGACTAGCAGGAGTAGGTACATTTAAGCATTTAGCACCTGGTTATGAGGTTTCCTAAGATGCGGGTTCGTGTTACTTTAGATCATTATGTTAATGTGTGGGCATAGAAGACCATGTCTCAGCAAGGGGGTTCTGTTTTGTGTGATGTCTGACTCAAGTCGTACTAAGGGTATTGTACGTTGTACTATGAACGCTTAGAAGGACGAGTGCAAGTGCACGTCCTGTGGGGCTCAGACCTGGCCTTCCCTACCCAGGGTATCTGTTTGTGGCTAAAGACAAGGCCTTTGTAACAGTAATCCGTGCATACGTGACGTTCATCCACGGCTCTCCCATGCACAAATACAAGCTGAAACCTGTACCAGGCAGTGACGTCGTATTCAGACATAAAGCAGTTACCTTTGCACATCTAACTTAAGGCAAGACACCAGACCTCTCCAGCCAGCAAGCAATGCAGTGCCTGTGCAGAGATTGCATGCAAGGAAAAGTACGTAGGGCTACCTAAGAAGTTCTTCTCGTACCCTTGTGTCAGGTGCATGCACGTAGTGCAGGCAGTTTCATCTCCAGTAGTAGTCAACAGCTCTAGCTGCACGCCACATGAGGGCTACCCATGGCCCAATAAGGTAATATCCACCTTTCAATAGCCATAGCTTCTTCATCTTATCATGTGTCCATGGGTTTCAGTGGTGGCATCGTACTGTTCGTTAGCTAGCCAGGCGGTGGACGGTGTACAGGCCCTGAAACATATCGTTTTGGTGAATCCAGCACAAAGGAAAAGCCATACATGCAACAGGGAGGTAACAAAAGGCCAACAGAGACCCACGGACCCTGCCTATTCTGTAGCTGAGTTACAACGACACTAGTTGCTTGGGTACACGGGGTCAGCAACACAATATCCCTGACACAATCCCTTTGGCTGTTGCCATGTTTCAGCACTTGACTCGTGCGTTGGGCTGTCCAGCGAGCTCCATGTCATTTTACCGGTTTGACGGAAAACACGAGACAGCCTTATATACCGCCGTTTTCCCGCAAGAGCCAATCTAATTGTAACATGCAGCATGCGCGCTTTAATGCTTTAGGCTCCCACAGCAGCAAGGAGAGTCGGGCTACTCATGGCAATCGGCGGAATGCCCCGACTCGCGCGCAAGACGTAAGCACTACTATGGGCTTCGCTAAACTAGAGTCTTCCCTGTGACTATGTTTTAGCGCGGTTTACGTGTTCGTTGGGCTGTCCAGCCAGCTCCATGTCAAGTTACCGGCTCGACAGAAGACATCTTAATTTACGCCGTCTCCCCACGAGAGTCGATTCAACAGTAACCAGTTGCATACAGGCTTTTACGCTTTGGATATAGGCAGCAAGAAGAGGCGAGCTTCTCATCATAACCGGTAGAATGCTCCGACCCAAAGACTTGCGCACAACTAGGGGCTCCTTTAACGTATACGGGTTCATAAGATGTACACGTTTTTGCTTCGTGCGTTTCCGCTTTTGCATAATATCGAGCTTCCTGCTTAGGAAGACCAAACGTTTCATACGCTAACTAGAGCTTTGCAACCATATCAAATCAAAGATTTCATGTCTTTACGTCCCAGCGCTGGGCGCAGTTCCAACTGTTTGGCAATGGTTGTCAGACCTATCCGTCGCGATTTCTGAAAAGCCCACAATTATAGCCGAAGAATGTTTGGTTTAGTATATGTTATGTGTTACAAACACTGTATGCGCACAGGGCTGCAATTGCTGCCATAGGTGCAATGGCGCCAACTAGCTGGTACGACGAGCGGGCTCACGATCCTAGTAGGAGGTCTCCTACAACTTGCATTCTCAACATATTAATACATTAAATGATATATACATAAAGGGCTTATGTTCAAGCTGTGGGCTTGCAGTTTTAAGTGCCTTGCAGGTCTCAACTAGGGAAGCTCGCGCCAAGGGTACACATCCAAGCCTGAAAGGTAAGCGGATGTGTCTTTGCTTTAACACTTCTGCATAGCATTATTCTTAGCTTCGAACAGTGAACGATTTGCGCAAGGGGAGGTATCCATTGACAAATGGATGGAGACATTCTGGTCACCACTCGCACCCTTACACGCAAACAAAGCTATCTGTGTCCTTTAATGCCACAGCATTGTTGCTTTTGGGATATTTCTTGTGAAACAACGCAGCAGAATGTAAGAAACCGAAGTGCGCGCGCTGCCATGTTCGCTTAAATTTGAACCACCCGCCAGATCGTTTTGCCCCGTAGATTAAGTCGAGTCCGTTCCCCATCCCTTGTATCCTCTTTATGCGCAGAACCTTGAAGGACTCGATTGGCTCTGAGAGCCATAAACAGCCTCAGCAAGACATGTACCCAACCAGCCCGTGAGCTGCAACGCATCATACGTATCCAGGTGAGCCGTTTGAGCACGCTCGTGTATTCCATATGCTTGCTCTCAACATTCCTCCGGAAGACCCTGGCCGTAGCTTCTTGACCTAGAAGTGCGCGGCTTGAGTCGGCCACATGGAATGAAGAGACCGAGCGCTGATCTTTTCTTGTTTGTCTTGCTTACACAACCAGCTCAAAGACATTGCTAACCTCGTCGTATTCCCTTCCTATGCTCTGCATGTGCGCTTCTGACAATGGACTACGTGCCAAGCAGCCAAGGTTGTCACAAGGCACCGTCAATTCCAGGTGTGTCCTTAGTTTAAGCGCGCCATTTCTACGCCTTTTATACTTGCTCTCGACATTCCTACGGAAGACCATGCCCAACTGCTGCTAGCAGAAGTGAGCGGGTGGTGTCTGCCACACTGAATGAAGAGACCGAGTGATGCCGCATGTAGGCAATTTACAGCTTAGACGGATAGCCGTTTGACAGCTTCTAACTCTGCCTTACTGCCTTTCATTGCCTGCATGTGCGCTTCGGACTATGGGCTACAAAATCAAGCAGTCAAGGCCGCCGTGACAAGCCCGCCCACCGTAATCCATCAGGTGGGTCATTTGCATGCGCGGATTCTGGACTCCCCAACCTTGCTCTTGACATTCCCTCGGAGGACCGTGCCCAAGGGCTTTTACAAGATGCCAGCGGGTAGTGTCCGCCACACGGAATGAAAAGACCAAGTGCTGCTCAATTTTTGCGATTTAATTTCAATACAGGCCCCTAAAACGATATCTAACCTCGCCCTACTTTTTCAATGCTATGCATGCTCGCTACTTTGTCCACCATGGACTTTTGGCTACACCGCCGCCCCCTCAAGACGATACCACGGCAGCAGGAACTCTAGCAGGTAAAATACGGTAATTTAATCGCCAGAATGCTATGCCACCCCGTTAAATTGCCTACCTTCCCATGCCATGTAGGCTGCGCCATTTATGGCCCCTAAACGCAAGTCGCCCGAGAATTTAACGCTACTTGGGCGCCTGACCTTTTTCCTCCAGAAAAGACTCGAGGTTATTGAGGTAAGGCGGTGTTAAATTTCCAGCCTTGCAGTTGTAAATGGTTCACGCATAATTGTCTTTCTTTCCATGCAGCGCCAAATCTGCGGTGGGGAAGGAGTGGAAGGCGTGTACGGGTCACTGACAATTGCAACATTAACTATAGTCCTACTGGTTCTTGTCAGAGCTGGCCTCCTACGCACGAACAGCGTCTTCGGGGACATCGGGGCTGGTGTTGGCAGGTGGGAAATGTGCACTGAAGTACGACGCTCACACATGTACTACAACTGTCGTACCTCGCTTTAACTTTGTTTACCTTCTTTCAGGACCCTGGTAATAGTCGCGTTCTTGTTCGGAATCAAAAGCATTGGCTGGGAATTGGATAAAGTAAAACGAGGAAAGGCCGAGAATTTTATTGAGAGGTTCCAGCCGCATGTTGACAAATACAAGGTGAAAGATCCTTGGAACCATTTAGAAGCCGACGTTAATTCTCTTCTGACAGCGTACAAAACACCAGAGTGTTTTTCCTGCAAACCAGACAACAGCGACGTGAGTGTACATGGTTGGGGCACGCTAGACAGGGCTTGAACCCGGCCCTAAAAGTGCCCTGATTGTTTAAAGCCGCCGTTTTCCTTGGTATTTGGCAGGTCAATTATGAAGATGTAACAGTCCTGTTCTCTTTTTGGGAGGGATTTGGTGACAAGGAAAAGGTCACTAAACACATGAAGACCGCTACTCAGCTCGAGGTGATTTGAACAGCTTGCTATTACCCTTTGTTGCATTGGTTCATGCTGATTTAACATGTTTCCTTGCCTCGCAGGCTCTTATTATCGTACAAAAGCATGAAGCTAAACCTGTCGAATTCATGGCAGGCTTAGGATTCCCCGGACTCACCCTCCTTACAAGATTGCCAATAAGAACCTCAGGTCTGATAGTATGCACGCTTAGTTGCTGGTTGGTTTCCCGTTAGCAATAATTATCTTACCAGACCTCGTCTTCTTGCAGGTGCCAACCAGACGTTTCAAGCATATATCTTCCTTACAAGTCTTGGCAAGTCCAACATGCTACCAGAAGTTAAAATACAGGAACAGGCAGGTTCAATATCACTAACGTACCCGTGTATTCTGTATGCTGCCATATATGTCATGCTCTGGTTAGGGTACGTGTTTTCGACTCACTGTTGCCCTGGCCTCCCCCTCCTGTTTAGGAATTCCTACCTCCTGCAGTGTACGACCTGCCCGTGAATGACCATACTCCGTTGTTAATTAAAATGATGCAAGAAGACGAACAGGCCAAAAAGGTAAGGCCATGATAACAGTTAGATATGAGTTACAGTATCTTGTTAGCTTCAGCGCAACCTCAAAACTACGGCATGTCGCATGGCTGCAGGCTCGGAACTTAGAAGCGCCTCCTAAGAATCTGTGTCGTACCACTACCATTCTTGAAGGAATACGAGTCTTTGCACTTTTCTGAGAGAGGGATTTCATTGCCACCTACGTTCACCCTTTCAATTTAGGATGATGCCTTTGAGCAGCTCGCCGAAGAGCCCCAGCAAGATTGCGCTGCTCTTGGGACGGCCACTCTTCAACCCGCTAGTGCGGACTTTTCAGATGTGCTGCCCACCACCGAGCACAACAAAGCACCACAGCTGGACCCGGTACAGCAGGTACGCAGCAAAGGCTGTTTTAGGTTAAACCAAGGATGTAAGATACCTACCGCCGTACATGAGGCCTTACATAACCAAACGCATTTCTTTAATCCAGGACGGCACTCAACCAGCTCAAGACACCCAGGTCGACGGCGCTGTTGAGACCCAAGCCGCCACCTCCATCAATGGCACTGGCTCTGGCGGCGGCCTTACAGCGCTACCACCCGGGCCCTCCTCTGTGCTGATGCATGGTTACACTGGCTACGGCCATACAGGTTACGGGGACCAGGTAAGCTTGTCCAATGATATTAAACTGTACCTGTATGCAGCTCGTTCTCCTCCAAAACGTAGTTCTGGGTGTTAGACGGTTTCGGTTTCAGGATTTGAGGACTACTTGCATTACCCCTGTCAGAGCAGAACGATATAGATTGCAGTCCTCCTCCTGGCATAATGATTTACACCGGTCCAATACGTGCAGGCTTTCTTCTCCAATTCGAATCCTCTGAGCACCTTCCTCTCTACGCCGGCTGGTAACCCATTCCTGGTACGTATTGCAGGATTCTTTTGGAGGGATGAACTAGGCAGGCTAGATTGTATTTTCCTTTCCCATTTTGGCATAACTATTACATGCTTATTCAACCACAGGCGGCACGGGCACTGAGGTTGTACGGCAAGCAGACAGCCAATGTAGTCATGGAGACCGAGCCCCAAGCTGCGGCAGACATGCTTGCCCTTCTTGCGTGTACGGACCCCAAGTCTTGCCTAGTGGAGTTGGTCAGGCTCAAGGACTTTCTGTCCAAGCCCAGTGCGCCCGGCCAAGGCAAGGTTGCTGCAGAGCTGGTGATGCATGCCCCTATCCTGCTCACCACGCTACTGGGCCAGGAAGCCTATGAGAACTTGTCCAAGACTAAGGGCCAGGCACGTGTCAATCTCCTTCAAGCCATGCTCCACCATCAGCTTGCTGGATACAACGGCAAATGCAATGAGAAGGTGAGTTCTGCTGCGGTTAGTGGAATGCTCTAGCCTGCATGGAGGGACGTTTTTGAGTGCTGTGCTCGAAGGGCTTTGTCAAATGTAAGCAATTACGTACCGCTGTTCATAGCTTACACATACGTCTTTGCTGTGATTTGTGCTTTTTCCTGATATGTATGAAACGGACCTGATGGCATGCCAAATAATCACTGGTCCGCAGTTGGGCTGCACGCCCTCAGTGGAGCCCCTGCCTCAAGATCGACGGCTTTCATTTGGTGTGGCTGCCTCTTCAATGGCTCCAACTATGATGCGGCCTAGGCCTTTCAGTCCCTCAGCGGCCGCCAGGACAGCTGCCCCGCCCTCAGGCCGTCCATCGTTGCCTGCCAGCTTCAAGGTATGAAAAGGGGAACAGAACGACAAGGAATGTGCTCTTTTGCTTGTTAGGATCTGCTATATAACTAGCCAAGTAGGCTGCCTGCTGCGTACAGCCCGCATAAAGTTAATTACAACCAGTTTTGATGGCTTACTGTCTTCATTTTCCCCCTTAATGTATACAGAACGAGGGTGTGACGTACAAGCAGAACAAGCTCGTGCCCTTCATCTTTGTCAGCACGTGTGGCAGTGTCTCCCGGACAACATCAGAGGGCATCAAGGTGCTAGAGGCCAAAATCCAGGTCGGCACCGGGCACCTTGTTATCAAGACAAGGCTAGCTGCTGGCAAGAACCCGAAGGAGGTCCAGGTGCGGAGGCTTGTAGCCTCGACCTTCATGTCCTCAGAGGATCTGGGGCTGCTGGGCCTGACGTCTGCCTCTGACCTCAAGGGGCACTCGTCTGGCAGTCATCAACTTGGCACCAAGGATGGTGACAAAACCAATGTTGCCCTTGACAACTTAGTCATTAAGAAGCGCGGCTGATTATTGCGCCTTATGCCAGAAAGCATGAGATGATCTAAGCTAATTTCATGTCGTACGAAATGCATGGTCTTTGCAGGATTAGAGAGACAACAACTAATGCAGGGGTGAAATTGCTGAGAAATGCAATTATTGAAGTCCGTTATGTCGTAGAATATGACACGTAATATTCGATGTTTGGCTGCAGGTGTTTATCGTGCATAGGTTGGTAAATATGGTTTCTTTTTTTGGAAACGTGCCTACGGACTTGCTTGGGATTACAGGATTGGATTCTTAATTAAATTCCACTCTTCGAGAGAGAGAGAGAGAGAGAGAGAGCATGAGATCGCTAAGCTGCGTGCAGGGCAGCCATTGTAAACCCTTATCCATGCATAGCTGAGTAATGAACCCAACTGAATTCGGGCACAAGTAAGCAGCGTGGCAGCATGATACTGGCAGCGTGAACAAAACTCTTCAGTTCACAAATTTATATCTTTGCCAATACTTAACCGTTTGACACACGAACATAAGCAGCGGCCTCAGCTAGACACATAGATTACGGGGGCACACTCCTTGCAGTTGCCCCATTGATGGCGAGCACAGGAAAAATGGGCAAAAACCGTTGTTCGTTATCACTAAAGGGGCCTTGCTACGCCCCGCCATGCACCCTAGCTACTGGCGCAGGTTCCAGTGTTGCAGGAACCGCCGCATGTACGAAAAGCGCAGCTTGGGAACCTCCTCCGGTGTCAGCTCCGGGATGGGGAGCCCCAAAGACAGGTGCTCCGCAAAGAAGATAGTGTAAACACCGCAGTCGTCCGTGTTCCCCTGCTGCGGAACCTCCACCAGCTTTACGTCCCACGTCCGCATGTCCAGGCGCACACGGTGGCGTACAGCTGCCTCACGCTTAACCCAGTGCTTCAAGTTGTTGACGAGCTCCATGTAGTCGTGCAGCTCCCTCTTCATCTGTGGCATGCATGGATATATCAAGGAAACTGCTTTACTGATGTTTTATTCTCGGTAATTATTTGGAAATTGTCAGAATTATGGCAACCGATTATATTTATACGGGCCCAAGTAGAGGGAAGGAATCAGTGTTTTGCGCTGTCGAGGATCCAAAACGATTATCCTAACGGAAAGCCCTAAAACTTACCGAGTCATAGACGCGCACTGCCTGCTTCGACATGTTGATCTCCACCAGGAACCAGTGGTTTTGGCTGAAGTGGATTGGCACCAGGACGAATTCCATCTCGTGCACCGGCGGCAAAGCCAAACCCACCTGCATAAAGAACGGACAAGGAAAATGTTTGCGAATTATAATTGATTTTAAATTTAATTAAGGCGTCCTATACAGCGCTGTTTAACCCAGTAGTAAGATTCCCACGTATCTACCTGCATCTTTTGCAGGCGCTCAGGTTTGGTCCAGCGCTGGACACGATACCACTTGGCCCTAGGCCCCTCCTTGGTCAGCTTCCCATAGAAGAAAGACGACAGGAAGAGGCTGATGCCCGGGCCCCTATACAGCCGGCCCCTCCGTACCGTGAAGTTCCTCACCTGAAAAGGAAATCAAGGATAGGTGTAGCAGGTACAGAAGATCAAATTGGGAAGAGAATACCTTGGGGCTGTTCATTGGGGCCGGAAAATGAATAGGTTAAAAACGAACGTAAAATAAATAAAATACGAGCAATACTATGGACGACTCCTTACATTCCAACCGCACCTGCATGAAGGTAACGGCCGCGTTGATCAGTTCGTCGTTTAGCCAGGACCCGTTGCCAGGAAGACCAGGGGCAAGGCGCCGAAGGTCCTGCCGCCTAAGCTTGAGGTTTATGCCAAACCTCGCCAGGACGTCCGTGGGGCTGCCTTGACCATCGAAAATGGCAAGGGCAGCGTCCTGCTCCTTTTTGCTGGCAGATTTGAAGTATGCGAGCGCCCCTCGTGGAATGTCATCAAGCTTACCATGGCGAGTAACCACCTCCTCCTCATTGTCAGAGTCGCTGCTCACGTATTCACCATCCCCCTTGCTTCCCCCTCCCTCGCTGTTGCTGCTTGCATCGCTGTCAATCCCCTCAGCCCCCTCAGCCCCCTCAGCCCCCTCAGCCCCCTCAGCCCTCTCAGCCCCCTCAGCCCCCTCAGCCCCCTCAGCCCCCTCAGCCCCCTCAGCCCCCGTAACATGACTGGTGACAGTGGGACGTGACCTCTTCATGGGTGGCAACCCAACACCATCTTCGATCTGATGAAGGCCAGCCGCGACGTCACCAGCAGCTGCCACCATGCTGTCACCAGCAGTGGCCACAATCGGAACAAGGTCACCACTTGACCCCACGAGCTCGCAGCCGGTTGCAGCTGCTGCAGGCTCTGTAGCAGCGGCGGAACCACTTGACCCCGCAAGTCCGCAGCCGGGTGCAGCTGCTGCAGGCTCTGCAGCAGCAGCGGAACCACTTGACCCCGCGAGCTTGCAGCCAGTTGCAGCTGCTGCCGTGGCCTCGACATGGGTGGTGGCAGGAGGAGCCACATAGCCACCTGCCAGTTGCTGAGGCACCGATGACGCCATGACCTCCAGTGCAGAAATCAACTCCACCAAGGGCTTCATGGCCTCCTCGTTAGGCCAAGCCTGCTTGTTTCCCCTCCCAGCATCATTCTCGCTCCTGGGTTGGGTTTTATGCAACGGGGTTTAATGGAGGTTAATGATGTGGTAAAGTTTTAGGCTTGGGCTTTAATCAATAATTGTCCCTGTCTCTTGCCCTTCAACAACGGTCTCTGCCTCTTGCCCCAAACAATGATCCCTGCATCTTGGCCCCCAAAATTACGTACTTGAGCTTCTTGAGGCAGGCAACAATGGCTGGCATGTCGAATCCCGCTTGCACGCGGTCAAATGCAGACTTGATGAACCAGGCCACATGCATGGCTGCCAGGTTCTTGGGCTGCAACGGCGGCAAGCAAATAAGGTTGGGGAGGCTATGGTACTTTATACGACTGCCACTAAACCGCCACAATCCCCGTGTTTGAACACATTACTGTATGGCAAAAAGAGCACCCTGCTTACCATTGAGGCTGTCGGTGCCCACTCAATTGCTTGCAGCCACCATGTGGGAATCTCCACGAAGTTTAGCCCCTTTGCAAGCTGCCGCATGGGAGTAATTATGTTGCGGAGCTGGATGGTCTTTAGGTTGAAGGGATACAACCAGTCCATCCATTTGTTGAGCTCTGTGGGTCACAGCCAAGATATGGAAGCAATGTTAAGGGAAAGGCTCGTCAATAGCTGTCCAAACAAAGGTAGCTTAGAAGGAATGCATGGTGTCCCCTGCAAACCATAACGTCAACACAGAGTTAAGTTGTGTAGGTCATGTGGCTGATATACAGGATACCTACCGGGGTACATCGTGCGTGCATCATGCGCCCCCTCCGGTGCGATCCCACTGCCATTGCCACCCAACTGGGCATGGGGAGGAGCAGCATGATACTGGATTCCCAGTGATAGGAACAGAACGGATTTGAGAAACTCCAAGACCGGCAGAAGGCGACCAGACCATTCCACGGAGACCTCTGAGAGATGCTGATCGATTATATTGTTTGTCGCTGAACACTGAAAGTTCGTGGCACCCGTCGCAAAGACATCTACCGACATGGTGAGCGTCGCAGTCCTAGTGCCGGCAAGCAAGCACTCGTTTTGCGGGATGGCATCTCCTGGCGAGTCAGGAGAGCCTGCTAATTCTCTTGAATTAAATCCTTCCATCAGGGCCGACGTTTTATGTGTCGCCGTCGGCAGAATCTTAAGGTTCCGGGTCCTTTGTCAATGCGAACAGCTTAACCCAAATTGACAAAAGTATAATAGGATGCCAAATTCGGCTGCTAATAATTGAAGTTTGCTGTAAAGGTGAAGACGGGGACGCTACGCTTGCATCACTCGTCGGTACCAGGTAACTAGTTAACCCGGTAGATTATAGCCCACTTCAATCTTTTGTAAATAACAAGTACTGGTTTATGTATTGTTTACAAGCGGTCTCATTAGCTCTTAGCATGAAGCTCCGTACTGCTGTCGTGCTAGCCGGGCCCCATGTGCAGCTAAACCTCATGCGCGAACACATGCAACCTTGCCACATCTATGAGCACTCTAAGAGGAAGCCATAGCCGCAATCCGGGCTCAAAACAGCAAAGGGATGGAGCAGATATGGGCATCCACGTCACAAACCGCCCTCCACCAACCACCAAGCGTACGGCACCGCGTACGGCATAGCGTTTCACCCACGTTGAAGTTCGCGACCGCACTGGCACCAGTGGATAGCATATGTGAAGGGCTATCCAGGGATAGCTTGGCCGCAACAGGCGACAACGTCTTGGGTAAACGGCGGCCGTTTCCCGCATTCACCCCCATGAGGCCTTACCACCACCGTCCCCTACCGGTTACACACATTTCGCCCCAAACGCACAGCTAAACCTCATGCGCGAACACATGCAACCTTGCCACATCTATGAGCACTCTAAGAGGAAGCCATAGCCGCAATCCGGGCTCAAAACAGCAAAGGGATGGAGCAGATATGGGCATCCACGTCACAAACCGCCCTCCACCAACCACCAAGCGTACGGCACCGCGTACGGCATAGCGTTTCACCCACGTTGAAGTTCGCGACCGCACTGGCACCAGTGGATAGCATATGTGAAGGGCTATCCAGGGATAGCTTGGCCGCAACATGCAACAACGTCTTGGGTAAACGGCGGCCGTTTCCCGCATTCACCCCCATGAGGCCTTACCACCACCGTCCCCTACCGGTTACACACATTTCGCCCCAAACGCACAGCTAAACCTCATGCGCGAACACATGCAACCTTGCCACATCTATG